TCTATCGACTTTGATGTACTGTATTCAACATGAAAATTGTCGGATATATCACGCAGAAATGTGTCAAAGTATAAAAAATATTTCAAGACTTTACGTATTACTCAAAAACTATTTTCCGCAATTATTGGCTATACCGCAACATGCGTACCAGGAATGCACCTCGAGGCGTTTGAAAGCCTCAAATGTTTCTGGAGTTTTATGGACGGATAAGAACTGTTCCGTTTTTTCTAACAAAATTCTCGATTATTCGGTTATTCTGCTTTGTAGCAGAATAGTGCATATTTCAATGAGTGTAATTGCACTACAAAGCGTGCACTGTGTTTAACCAAGGTCAATTATTTCAAAAATAGTATACACCTTTGAATATGTAACAACCGGCCCTAAGTTTTACATTCATAGAAATAAAGGAAAGTTATAGTGCTTAAAAGGGGGTTATTCCGAAGTTTTTTTTTATATCAGGTCTGTCGGTATAATCACCAAGTTGAGTGAACTGCGAAGCACGCATTATTCTATCAGTAAGAAAACAAATACATCTATTACGCAACGCTGTTCTTTTTTGCACGCACTGTGGATAATTTGTCATTATTTATTATGTTTTAGATTGTTCTGGATCAGCAAAACGTGAACCGTTAACTATTCAATGACTACCAAGAATTGTATTCATGATGCTTATGAAAATGTCAGTCTTATGTACAAAAGTACATATGTTCCAAAATGTTTAACCAGTATCAAAAAAAACCCTGAATTTGACGAAACGGCCCTCAAGAATAAGATAAAAAACAGCAACACAAGAACAGTCATAAAAACAATTAGCGGCGACCTTTTTTACATTGTCAGTCAAACACAAATCTATCGTCTCTTTATTTAGAAACAGACTGTGCAAATGCAAGAGATCTGTGAACATCTAGAAGAAACTGAAAATAGTTAGAAAACTCACGAGTTTTATCTAAATTTCTGCATATTTTACACCCAATTGAGGCTCTCACAGTGTAAAAGAGTTTGCTAAAGTGTATCATAGAGTCCGATGCTCGTCTGACCTATAATATTTATWTAATTAAGTTATTTATTTTGTTTATCTATGCGGTTATTTCAACACGGCAAATCACCGCAAATCAGCGCGGTATCCTGACAATACACAAAGTTTTATAACTTATAATACTTCACGATTTAGTTTTGACTGCATTAGAAATCAAAGGCGGCCTCAATCAATTCTCATTAATTTCGAAAATAAATCAATATTGCATACTGGTCTATGTTTAAAAGTAGAAAAGTCATTATTCGTTATACAATACACTAATACAATGACATTTTATTTCCACGCTAAAAGTTGATATCTAAAAATATCAGTAATTATGCATAATAGTTATGTGAAGTAACGTAGATCAGCTCTATGTAATTAATGAGATTATACCTAGTTTAACTACTATTATAACTAGAARATTTTAAAAAGCTTAAAAAACGACAGAGATATTGATTGTCAGCAATTGTGAAAAGAGCATCACTCGCGTTCCTGAGAGGATTGAGTAGCGGTTATTAAAAGAGAGCATAACTAAGAATTGTTGTCCGAATATAAGAACATACCTTGTGAAGTATAAATGCACACTGCGACACACGCCAGCCATAAAACGACATGGCCATGRGAAGACATTTTCCCCGAATCTTCACGGCATTGATACTATTTGGAGCCCGGTTTATACTAAACTCATGAACTGAAACCTACATTCTTCGAAATGACGTCAGAACAGAAATTACAAAGTCCAATTAAAAAAATACAAAAAGTGTAGTAAATTCCCTATGATGCAAGAACCCTGATACATTTGGAAAACTGACAAAAGATATCATACATTATAAGAAGAACTACATATATTGCTCGTTTTCAATCATCCTCATGAGATCGAGATTCAAAAGATAAAAGACCGCCGGCCATGTTGGTTGAATGAACAATAGATAATTAATTAGAAATCCTTTGTTGAAGTTCAACCAAGATGGCGGCTGTGAYGTATATTGCAAACGAAGAATACTGAAAATGTTCTATAGCAAGCGTGCATAGTTTTCCCTGAAGCAGAACAAACAACAAATAAATTCAAGTATAAGARTAAATTCTGATATTGGAGCTTGCTTGATTCTCAAAGATACCGAATTTCAAAGGTGGAATGGAATTATTAGGAAAGTAGCTGGAGTTATAGGAAATGTAATTGAAGCAGCATTCTTAATTGATCGAATTTGTTTCTAGTCTTTCTAGATTGTACCGGTTGTTGCTCATTCTCCCTATGCCGACAATGCTATTTTAATAATAATAATAATTTTATTGAAAAATATCTCTAAAATGTAAATTTACAATATTCAAATATTTCTACAATCTTTCTACAATATAATATAATTTAAAAATCTCTATTATTACTAAAAATATGTAAACAAGAAGAAAAATCTCAAAATATAAGAAAAAAAAATATCTATATATAAATGTGTAAAAATATTTATGAAATGGCTGCCTGCAAGTTTTCTGCATCAATGTCTACATTAATAAAGTCAGTTTTTGGTCTTCTAATTGCCGACAATGCTTCGGTAATTATTATTTTTTACATACATTTCTGGATCTTTTTACTTTTAAAGTGAGTTATGTCATTATATATTACTTTTCAAAGACATTCCAATCTGCTCTATACTACATACACTATTTTCAGATGGAGCTACACGTTTAAAAACAGGTGAGTGAAATTGAACAATTTTGTGAGTTAGAMAACAAAATCACTAGTTTCATTTTTCACAAATCGATTCGTCGATTAACTGAACGGTCACGATGGTAGGTGCCTGGGTACACTTACACAAATTGACTCTTAAACTTTGTTGCACTTCCAACCAACATGACTAACTAAACAATAACTCGTAAAGCTGCCACAACAAAGCATAGTTGTCACGGATCAATCACATCAGCGTTGTTTAGACAAGTTTTTTATTACACTCAGCAAATCCGTTTGATTATCATGATACTTCATTATCATTTCACACCATGCATGGAGGTATCTTGTATAATCAAAATAACACTAATCCTTTAATACCGCCTATTAGAAGTACATTTGCAAACACTACCGGCAAATGACTTTTAATGAACATCGTTCATTCTGTTCGGACCAATCAGCATATCGGACTACCAGAACCCACTACCAGAACAACTTCAAGTAACACAATACAWTTTTTTCTGAAATCGAACTTCATTTCATTAGGAGCCGGAGAGGGCTTTTTTTTTTTGTACGGGATCTCCTGCTGAAATAATCACTAGGTTGTGGTTTTGGGGTGTTATAAGCCGCAGAGATTAACAACCATAACCCGTGATAGAGATAGAGGACTCGTGTCTTCAAACGGTCCAACATGTCGTACAATCGGAGGATGAATTATTATCAACACGGGCAAACATCAGCCATATTTCACATCCCGTACAATGCTCGTCCTCCGAGGTTTGTCGTTCAGTATTATGAACCACCAACGTTCCTACCTTTCGCAGGAAGTTTTTAATCTAAAAATTGGACAATAGCTTCTTTGGATCTGCATTACAAATAACTTTCAGAACCCATCACTGCATTTGCAATTGAACACCTCATGATTTSAACAGGTCAGTCAACAAAGCCTATTTTAACGCCTGTTTGAGGAGCTTTACCAAMTTGAGATAAAGTGTAAAAAGATCGAAAAATAACTGCAGTAGTCCTTTACAGAAAACGTCACACACGCATCTAATGTTTACGAAAAAAGCGACTACGAACTGACTGACTGATCTCTGTCCAGATAGTAGTTACAGATGATATTCAACTTAATCTCTAAACCATAAAAGAACGATGACCAGGAGTATAAACCCACTATATCTCTAGCTAAACCCCACCGGAGCCCGGTCAGTTACAACCTTGCACGCCCAAATATAGAAATAACGGGACGTTCTAAGCTCTAAGGAATGTTGAGTTTATCTCATTATATTATTCGAATTAAATTGATATCTATTCGCATTAATCCTGAAGATTAGCAAATCACGCGGATAACAACAAATAACATTATTCACACAGTCAAGCTAATCATAATTTTGATGTATTACCTTTCTATAAAATACCAAATCAAAAGAAATTTGACAATATTYTCAATAAAATAATAATAATCTCAAAACATGTAATCAAACGAGTATTATACTGTATAATCATTTTTAAGGAGCAAGTGAACCTATCAATAATTTATTTTC